CTATTATTATTATTTTATATCAAGAATTCCACTCGTATAGTCGTATAAGGGTAATGAATTATTATAAGGGAGAAAATGTGTACCGACACGATACTGTTGGTAGGTAATTGTTGACAAACCGACGGCATTTTTGCGTGTTTCTATACGATTCGAATACTTTAATTGAATTGATAATATTATTTTATTAAACTGACCAATCTATTGATAATGTGTAATATTTATCGTATCTATTTCATGCATTAAGATCACACTTTTGACGTTTAAATTTAAATAACAATATTAAAGAGAAATCAACATTTTATGTTAAGTGCTGACCTATCTACCAAGTATATATTATATGCATTAGTGTAGTACCTACACCTCATTGATAAGAAGATGATAGAGGACATGGTATATCAAATGTTAAGTGATATTTTTGATTTTTAAATTTTTTAGTTAATTTATGTAGCATAGCTTTAACATATGAAATGCATAATTTAATAAAATATGTATCATTTCAGTATAAATATTATGTTTTCATATATAATAATTAATTACTGAAATCAAATTTTGTGATTGTGAATATTTTATAGTCTAGGACCTATATTATATGTTCGTATTTTATATTTTTAGTTTATACGCATCACATTTTTACAACATAATTTTATCATTTTCGTTCTATAAATATGTAGGTAAGTAATATATTTCTTAATATTAAATGTCACGTTATAAGTAATTCCTCATTACTTTATAATCATATTTCTAAGTTCTACTAGTAATGCCATGATTATAAGATAAAACTATTAAAACATCATCATACTAAATCACTTGACTTCATAATTTATCTAATGGTTTACTTTAGGCCAGTTATCTTCAACATTTTTAAGCAGAAGGCCACATATTATTGTTTAAACACCTAACGGGTGCATTCTTAATAAAAACATGTATTAAATGATTAAAAATGGATTTAAAAATATATGATATGCTTAAAATGTGTTCATGGGCCTTAAATACAGACAAGGTGGGACGAGGGCTGAAGATCCCTGTGATAGACTTAAGTGTAGTTTTTAGGCCTTACATAATATTGTGTAAGGTCTATTTCCAAAGTCCTTTAAATTGGAATTTTGAAGTTTGGTTTATTTCATAAGTTTGTAAGTTGTTTTATAAAAAAAATCGTTTTGCTACAAAATAAAAAAAACCAACAAGGGGCTGGGAAATACCCAACATTTTTTAATTTGAATTTTCATGTTTATTGGTACAGTTAACCAATTTATGATTTTCAAATTTTCAAATTGTATAAGTGACTTGAAGACTGAAGAAAATATACACCTTTTGGCTTTTAATATTTATAAGCTATTTAAAGTATATGATAAATAAAACATAAACACATTTTATACCTCGTTGTACATATTATACATTTACTATTTAGATATTGATCAATGAACTATAGTTCCTATATTTAAATATTATAACCCAGGGCTAATAAAAGTTAAACCTACCTGACGTGACAGCCAACTAAAATATAGTAATTTTTTTCTAAAATGTATCTAATATCAAATATAATGTGTGCATTTTTAAAGGGTTTGCAAAGTTTTTCATTGGTCATCAATCAATGTTAGAAACTAAAAGTTATGAAACTTAAAACAAAGAAAATAGCTTATAAAATATGTAGTTAAAAGCTACTAAGTGCTTACTATTTCAAAGTTTTACTAGGTGAGAAATCATATAAAAAAAGATACAAAGTATTTAATTATGTCTGAAATTATTTTTGTAAGATATAATGAGTGTTAGTAAAAATAATGTACTTAATTTATGAATTAATATGTTAATTAAATCTAACTAATAGGCATCAATATGCTTTAAAAGCAATTTAAATAACTATTAAAGAGTGTAAATAACTTAAAGTCAAAACTCATAACAATAACACTATGACAAATTGATGAACAGTTTAATTTCATAAGCATTTTACATTGTAGATAGAGAATAAATCTAGTACCAACAACGTTAGCCATTTCTCATTTTAAGCTTTTACTAAACAAACATTTTAAATATTTTAAACTCTTAACATGATAATATATTATATAAATAAATACCTAATTCATAATCACTCAAATAATATTATTTTCTAAATAATGTGCAATACAGTAATATATAATGTAAACCTATACCTACCAGATAGCCATCCGAGAACAAGTAACACTGGCCGGTGCCGTAAACTCAAAGCGCGTAATCATCTGAATGTAGAATTCAAGCCACAATATAATTTATTGTACTGTTCCACACATCTGAATTATTGAGAATAATCAATGGTATAACGTATGACGTATACACTATAATATTATGATAAATTAACGAATAATAGTAATAAATAATAATTTAAAACATTTTAAAATTATGTAGCATTTGTAACAATGAATTAACAAAGAAATGATAAGGAAAATTACATTGATATAGTTCAAAGATTATTGATTAACGGATCCATAATAATACTATCGGTATGCTACACGTATAAATATTATTTATGTAGAGTTATACTTTTTCATCAATTAAATTTCCCGAACGATTTTTTCTTAAAGACGTATTCAAATAATATTCAATATGTCATACGCACAGAGTACAGACTATACTGCAGTGTATATTTCATCATATTACAATCTAATTCAGGAAATGTTTATAATTTATTTTACCTAAGTATGTATTTTGATTTTTGGTACATATTTTCAATTTTGTTTTTAAATTATTGAACTTCAAAAATGTTCTCTAAGAAAATTTTCATATTTAATATCACCGAAAGAAGGAGGTTAGGTTTATGAGAACCTATATAGGCTTTAATCTTTGGGAGTTATTTGTTTGTGAAAAAGGTTTGATTTTCGTTTCTGCCAAATCTAGGCATACAAAGGTGCATATAGGTACTGTTTTCAACAATTCAACAAGGGTAATATTTTTTTTATAGTTCTATAATTTGTTACTACATTCGACCTGTTCATTAATCTTTTTTTACTATCTTATCCTTTAAAATTGTTGATACATTTATTTAATTTAGAACTGTTTATTTGAATATATATACCTACATTATAGTTTAAATACTTTAAATTACATTTTTTTTCAATTTGTTAGGTAATATTAGGATACGATTTGTAAATCTGTTCGTTGAGATGTAGGTACATGGAATGATTAGCAATCATTTGTTATTCTGAATTAACTATCAATGAAATTGGACAACACGGTAGATGGAAAAAGTCCTATTTTCGGGAATAACATTTTCGGAATACCATAAAACAATAGAAACATAAAACCTGCAGAATTATGACTAGTGGCGGTTTTCAAACTATAATTTTGAAAGAAAAATGATTTTATGGAATGGAAAACCAAACCTTTTTTCATTTTGTGGAAACAATGTACGCCCAATCTTTAAATTATAAATTTCAACTTTTTACGTTTTATTTTTTACAGATGGTACTTTTGGAAAAAAAATAGACTCTTATTAATATTATTTGTTAACATTAGTTTTAGTTACAGCTTTATGTTTCAATTTGCTGTATTAATGATACAAGTACTTTCAGCTACGTATTACGCAGAATTTGTAAAAAAATCAAACTTATAGTGGTGGTGGGGAGGGTTACAACCCCCTCACCACTGGTTGTGTCCTGTATGTAATACGCTGTACTACTTAAAACAATTCACAGTTTTTTATTACCTGGTTGATAATTAGTGGATCCGATTAATAGTAAGTTACATTAATGTTTCGACCTGTCCTACCTATACATACAGCTTTCTGCAGCATTGTTGTAAATTGTAATACTTTTTTAATCAATTCATGTTTGATAATATTGAACCTATATTTGTCAATTTATTTTCCTTCGTTTCCATCACGAGCAGTAACTATATTAATATTTAATACTAATAAAGTAAACATTATTAACTTTGTGGTTTCGAGGTGGTTTTAAAATTGATATTATAGATATATTATATATATTATGTACTTCATTGCATTATTATAGTATTAGAGTATTACTATTTGAGAGTAAATACCTGACCTGCAGTAAAGGTGGGTAGGTATTAAAAGTTATTACTTATTATGTAAGTTAGTTACAACCTCAGCTTATGTTATTAATTATATTGTACAATATAGTATATATTATTGCCATCTAGGACGACAGAAAGGGAATATCGGTAATATCCTGTTTTTGATTCATTAATACTCCATTGGTTTTATTAAAAATATTAGTACACCGTTTATTCGAACAGTGCATGCAGGTACGAATGCGTGAATAGTTTTTAAATACAATTTTGATAATACCATAATATGTATAACGACAAGGTTACCAAAGTAAAAAATAAATCGACAGTTAAAAATTAAATTAAGTGTTTTCGAGATTTTCCTGGCATTGCAATCGCACAATTCGAATCGTAATAATAATATACCGGTAGGTAATAATGAGTAACTATTAAAGTTATTGATTATTATAATAGTAACCCATTAAAAACCAGTTGGTAGATGGATCTGAACGTATTTATTTCTCTTGCGGTACATATACCTCAAAAATATAAAACACGCATCTCCGTAATGGAGAAGGTAATGACGATGATGATAATAATAATATACTATTGTCTACAATAATAATACTATTTAGGTTTATTATTATTAATATTTTCATTTCGAAAAATCGTTACAACAGCAGCCCAACAATGACGACGCCGAAATTGTGACGGTCGTGATTTTTGGAACCGGTGTGCCGGCCCCCGCCGACAGCTGTTTCCGATTTGTGGAAATCGGGCGTCAGCAATGCAGCAGCCTGCAGCCAGCAGCCAGCAGCAAGAACAGCGGATCTGCTCGCGTGGCCGTGGTCGCGTTCTCGACAACGACGACCACGACGACGACGTAGGCGACGGACAGACCGACCGGCTGGCAACGGCGCCCGCCGTCGCCACCGCCGCCGCCACCGCCAAAGAGTCGAACGCGTACGTACGCACGCGAGACAACGGCGGCGGCGCGCGGATACACAGACGGCGTTTAGTCAGTCGTTCGCGTTCCGTTGCCGCGTACGGTCGTCGTCGTCTGATCTGCGTGACGTGTGCCGTCGTCGTTCTAACGTGCGTGCGTGCGTGCGTGTGTTGTGTTCCGTACGCGCCGGCGGTGGTGTGTGAGTGTGTGCGCGCGCGCCCGTCGCATTGTTTACACCGGTTGTTTTTTTTTCAATTTAATTTTTACCGTGTGCGCTTAATTTTTTCACGTTTCTTCGGCAATATTTTGACGACGATATTGTCGCCGTGGTTAATTATACAAGTGCTGTTATATAATCCGTCGTCATACTCGCGACGGTGTGAAAATATAATATTCGAGTCGTTTTTATCCGTTCGTGAAAACCGTTTTTTTGATGAGATAACCGGCAAACGACACGGAAAATAAAGGTAAGATCTGCACTCAGTACCTCCAACTATCTAACCTATGTGTCATGTGTATTATGCACGCGTTCGTGGCGTTACCTCGAGTAATACTCAACATTATTATCACAAGTATTATTAGTTATTACCTTAAATATCTTATTTTTCTACTCGCGATAAACACGTGCGTGTGTGCGCGTATACAAGGTACAACGGACGATAGCGTCGCGACGATGACTCGACGTCGTCACCTTCTTCGCAGACTCGCCCATTTTGTTGCGCGTCCGTCGTGGTTTGCGCGTCTGAAAAAATAAAATGTCGATTACCTGGTTAGGATAGGTAGGCCGACCGGCAAAATTTTTTCTAGACTCGCTCACTCTGCACGCTCCCACACGTCTGTGTTACCACACTTACCGTTCATTACAATGTTATCATATTATTTTAACGTCGGCAGTTACTGCCTGTTGGTCCGTGGTCGTCGTTCGTTCGCCGTCGAAACCGGTTCTTAGAATTTTGTTGTTATGTGACGGCCATAGGTGTAATTTAAAACTAGTTTGCAATATTATTAAACTGTATAACAGATAACAATAAGTTATTAAGCCCTAATTTAAAAGTTTGAACGGAGCGTCTTCAAAACATTTGAAACCTTCCTATGTGCCATATAACCCGCGCCATGATCCCGATTATTATCATTTAACTAAGTTGTTATCACTGGTTTTACTGCGGTTACAAAATGTTGCCGTTACCGTTCTGGCTGTTGTGCATTTTTAAAACGCTTAGCCCCGCATAGGTTATAATCGTAGCCTTCATGGTAACGTTCGCTCGAAAACGTATTTTTTTTTCAATCGTCGAAAAAGTGAGTCAACGGTTCGAGTGTAACGAGTCAGGATGTATCCTTGACGTTGATTGAAAACTCGTGTGGTTTCCTTTTTTTTTCACCCAACTAGTAGTATTATAGTTTACTGACAAAACATCACTTCTTTCGTAGTACCTACGGAAAAAAAGGAAGTTTCGCTCACTTATTTCTGTTACAAATACAACTCTATCGAAAATCGACATTTTTTTAGTGTAAACCCACGGAAAAAAAATTGTGTTGTAATCTAATTGTACTTACTACCCAACGAATCAAGTAGGCGGTACTCTGAGCGGTTTTGGTGTGTATGACATTTTAATTTAGATTTTTGGTTTTATTAAGACGTTTGATAAAATATACCTGATACCTAGGTAGATTACTCAAAAGCAATAATTATGAGATGTTTAAGATAACCATCGTATTTTTTTTTAGAGATTATCTCAGAGATTATTAATCGGAACTCGTGTGTACTACTTGTTGTTACAAGGTGTTTTGGCTTGTAGCCGAAAAATTGTGGGTAATTTATAATACGAAATCGTTAGTATTTGTAGGTAGATACAAAATATTTTCAAATGTTACTGTTGAGGTGTACAACTTACCTACACAGAGCTTGGATCTGATCATCTAATGGTCTTAACCACAGAATGTCGCCGTCGCGTAAATGGGTTACCTAACTTCCTGTAGGTGCGATTACTGTAAGGGAAGGAGAGAAGAAAATAGTGGTAGCTGTGACGATAATAATGTGCTGACCCGTTTTCAATTTTGCCTATTTGTACATTTAAACAAACAAAAACAATACACTACCGACGTTTAATTGCGATACCTATATATATTTCTTGAAAACCAGAAGGATGTCGTTTTGAAAAAAAGTAACTGCGAAAGCTGTTATATTGTGTAACTGAGGAGGAATATGTTGATTTAATTAGATAAGATCTTCAGAATTACCTGAATAATTAATATTGGGGCATATGAATACAATCTCGAATACAATAGATATTAATTATGTATCAACTTCAAAAACATTTATGTAGGTAATTACCTATGATATTGAATCGCTTAGAGAATATTTGGATTAAAAAACTTAAAATAGTTTGTGTTAATTGGGTAAAATGTAGATAATAACTAATAATACTTTAGGTACCTACCATCAATAATTGTAAATACTAAAATAATATTTATAATCATACAGTATTATATTATGTCGAGTGTAATATATTTTAATATAGGTAGTATAGACAGGTAGGTACTTAAATTGCTATTTAATATTATAATAATATTCTGAAGCAATTATCATTTAATTAAGATTGATTGACAAACTGTAAGTGTGTAGATATCTGGTATACCTACGTATTATTTTTGTAATAGCTATATCGAAACTAATACCTCTATCATACTAAAACCAGTATTCATTGTATACACTGTAAAACAATCAGAAATTTGTTAGAAATGCAAAAAAAATGTGAATGGACAAAATAGGTACTTTATAAAAACTTATCTCGTAGTAGGTACGTACTTAAGTACTTAAGTACCTATGTATGTAATAAAGTTAACAATTTTCTGAATGGAATCCTCGTTATCTCTTTGAAGTTAGGAATGTACCTATAAGTATTTATTTTCAGTTATTTTGGAGTAGGTACCTAATAATATGTATAATATAATTATATGTGAATAAATGTAATCATATAGCATATCAAACTAAACGGACGTTTTATATTACTGTCGTCATGTGTCGTTTAGATTTATTTCTTCCCAATTTATTTTTAAAGCAGACCGAATCTCTGCGAAGAAAACATTGCCAAGACTAACATAGAAACTATTTTTTCTTTCTTTCTTAAATCAGATCTTAGAATTGGTGTAAAAAATGTGCCCTTGATCGAATGAGTGGAGAGATGAAAAAATAAAAGAACCTTAAACAAAACGTTTTTATTACCGGTATACTGTTGTCTGTTAATAACAGTTTAGAATGATCCTTGAGTGTAGTCAGCGAGGTAGTCAGTCACGTTCCTTTCCGCCGACTCCCACAATACCCCTAGGCTATCCCGAACAAAATACAGGCTTGTCGTATATTTACCTGCAAAAAATGTGTAGCCAGGAGTATAAATAATAACTGAATAGGAGGTATGTACATATAACAACGGAAACGTGTGTAATTTATTGTAACGTACCTGCTTATATTGTATATAAAACGAGAGCAAAGAAAATGAGACAGAATTTGAACCCGGTTAATCTGATCTTACGTTTCGTGTCATGGCTTAGAGAAATCAAAGTGAAACTAGCATTGTGTGCTGCATATAATGGAAAAGCAACCCTTAAAATTCTTCTATTAGATGTCCATAATATATGTTGTGTTGGAATATAATAAGGTCGAGTGTATAGTTCAATGATTTCGTCAGTCATACAATAAAAAAATACAATATTTCCCCCATTTTACCTGTTCAAAATGAGTTTCAATAAATATCGTGTAGTATTTAATAAATTTGTTGTAATTTACCTATGTAGTATAGTTTATCATAAAATTATTTTATATTATACACTTATTACATAATATTATTTTAGTATGCGCAATTATTTTATTTATTAATATTAGTTAGGTATGAATGGTCTTAAAAATATATTTGTGTGCATATGGAAAACAAGTGTTCTTTAATATTGCCATACTAAATCAGGTCTGCCTTATGGGGCCGGACGATTTGGTTGAAAAGAACATATTACCTACCGTCTCTGTTGGGTCAAATTTCAAGTATATAATAAATAATAATAAAACACAAAGAATGCCCCACCGAGTATTTCACGATTTCCTTTTAATATCCCGTTTTATATTACTTAGGTGTAGGTATTATATCATACCACGTGTGCGCTCAACACCAAAATTCTTCTATATTTTTCAATTTTTTCTTCACAATTATTTTAGGTTATTTATACTATTGGTATGAAAAATGTGTGCATTATCCTTGTTGTTAGCAAGTAGGTAGTTATTCTATTTTTAAAACCAACTCTCCTCCAAACAAAAAAACTTGTCATGATCACGTCTCGTGAAAGATTTTTATCATTCAAATTAGTTAATAATCAGTCGTATAGAAATATTTTATGGGGTTCGCTTTTTAGTCGATAATATTTAATAAACGAAAATTCGTAAGTTTATCAGATATCTCTTATAGTACTTACATACATTGTATGCGTGTAGGCATGTCCCAAGCATAAAATGTATCTCGTACAGTGTAGGTAGTACGCCTGTCTGTGTGGGTATAAAATGTTTAATGTACGCGGTAAATAAATAAATACTGGATACGGCTTAAAGGTGTCCATTTTTATAATTAGTAATAAAATTTCAAAAGAAAACTTGGTAGGTAACGTTGGTTGAATTTAGAGAAAAAAAAATTGAAGTAAGTAACCGATAGTGTTTAAAAAATAATAGTCATAATTTTGGGTACCTAATTGATTGTTAAATAAAACCCGTTTGTATATTATGCTTTTTTCATTTTTCATCTTATAGGTTAGGTACCTATAATATCTACTATAGTTGCCGACCGGCGACCGCAATTTACATATACATATAATAATAATATACGCATCTAACCGCTGTCCAATTAAAATGATGGTGGCAGTATTCGGGCTGTTTGTCGTTTCAGAGTATTAGGTATGTATAGGTATAATAATAATATTGAGTAAGCGTATGAAGCGCGCGCGCACACGGTCTTTCGGTCTGGTTCTCCTCCATTGGCACTGTTCCACCGCTGTGTTTCTCCGCCGTTGTTCGTCTTTATAACCTGCACGTCCACTTGCTCTCTTTCTTTTTCTCTCTCTCTCTCTCTCTCTCTCTCTCTCTCTCTCTCTCTCTCTCTCTCGGTGCGTAAAATGCGTTAGTTTCGTCTTGCGTTTCGATTAATGAAATACAAGACGGACACAGACCATCCATCCACTGGTCGGCGGCACTCGGCGCTATAATAGCCGGTGTATTTTTATTATATATTGTATATTATATAGGTAGGTATATGGTATACTAATAATAATAATAATAATAATAATAATAATCACACCAAGGGGTTCAATGCATCCGGATAATAATAACAACGTATATATATTATTATCATTATAGTTTATTGTTGTATTGACTATTGGGATACGGTTAATTTTACAATACGATAATTGAAACGGACTGTGTGAACTGTGAATA